GAGAGTTGGTATAACTGCTTTGTGGGGTGTTATCGACACCCCACAAATTTTTATTGTTTTTTCCCACTTCGTGGCGCTTGTCTGCCAAGGCCTTGTGCCAACCTCCCTACCTTCACCCCGTGGCCCCCCAAATGTTTTTTTGTTTTTTATCACACACACCTCGTGCTGTCTTTTTTTTTTTTTAATATTTGAAGGCACGGGGGTGTAGAAGGCCCACGCACCACCCCCCTCCCRCGTCCACGTGGGCGGAAAACCCATGAACGTCCGTTCACGGATTTTGACCCCCGTGACCGACCGGTCACGTTCAAGTGACCAGCTGGTCACGTTCACGGGACTGACATTGGGCACCACTGGTGCAACTCTCCCGGACGATAGACTCTTTGGAACCTCCTCGAACCATGTATGAGGCGGSWAGCCCACTGTTACCTCGCTACTTAGACAAAAGGGTTTTTTGCGACATTACGGGGTMACCCTCTSARTCGCTTCTCGCCGAGGGTAAGGAAATACGAATGTTRTGTCGAGGTGTTGAAACACAGACTCRAAAACTCACAACGAGGWTCGATGCATCCTCCTTCGAAATCGGGATTAGAATCGCAGGGAAATYGGTAAGCCCCTGGGACAAAGAAGACGGGATCACCCCCGAAGAACATGTTGCGATCACCGAAGCTGACACCCAAATGATCGCCACTTTGTTTTCCAGGCGATCCGATCACTCATTTATCTCATATCTCCCGAACCAGATACCCAAATGGACTCAGATGAAGCTGTTAGACGTCARAATAGATGGACAGTATTACGATCTGCATGTGCCTGAATATGCGCCAAATGACATTCATCGCACGATTGTGGACATTTTGAGTGAGTATCTCGAAGCGATTAGTGTCACAGATACGGATATTGGTCTGTTCYGCGTAATCCTACATGAAATTCAGACTGGGAGCATCCACCCATTCACCGCAACCCCTACTGATACTCTCTCGCCGAGAGGAAAGTGGCGTTGGAGAGAATTATGGAGTTTGAGGAGAATGGTTGGATCCAACCCACCACAGGACCTTGGTCCTTTCCCATCATTTTAATGCCTAAGAAAAATGGGTTAATACGCATTTGCATCGATTATCAGAAAGTGAATG